CTGCCGTCGGTTTTTGGCATCTAAGTCCGGAGAGCTGTTTGAGTAACGGGAGAGGAATTTATTTCAGGTCCACTTCATTCCCTTCAGTGTGTGTATTTATGTGTGTGTGTGTGTGTGTGTGTTTTGCTGTAAACCAGATCATTAAAATCAATGGGAGTCCCCACATACTTCAGCGAGCTAGGCCTTCTTTGTTTTGCTCCTGTGTATGGTTTCATTCAGGCAGGTGACTACAGGAATTGTGTAGTTCAAGTGTGTGTACCCCCAAAACGACACCCACCTGTGCCCATCTGCCTGGGGACACACATGGAGAGAAACACATGTCTGTACAAACATGGATGTATACGTGAGAGTCAGTGTGGTGTAGTGGTTTGAGCGTAGGACTATGACTCTAGAGGTCGGGGTTCAAATCCAACCCCTGGGCCATGAAAACCCACTGGCTGACCTTGGTCAAGTCACACTCTCTCAGCCTCAGAGATTGGCCATGGCAACCCCCCCTCTGAACAAATCTTGCCAAGAACACCCCGTGATAGGTTTGCCTTAGGGTCGCCATAAATCAGAAACGACTTGAAGCCACACAACAATGTATATATATGTCTCTGTATATGTGTATCTCTGTAGACGTGTGTGTATACACAAAACTACACTCATCTGTATAAATCTGCCTGGATATGTGTCTCTCTGTGCGCTTAAGCACATGCGGGAGCAAGCGTGTTTTTGTGTACACGTGTATACACAAAACAGTCTGTATAAACCTCCTACAGATATGTGTGTGTGTGTGTATATATATATAGAGAGAGAGAGAGACAGATACACATATGAGGAACAATGGTCTGAGTCTGAGTGTGGGACTAGGACTCTGGGACACCAGGGTTCAAATCCCCACAGGGCCATGGCCTTGGGCGAGTCACATCCTCTCAGCCTCAGAGGAAGGCAAACTTTCCTCTGAACAAACCTTGCCAAGGAAACACAAAATTGGCTTGAAGGCACCTAACTCCAACAAACGTGTGTGTATATAAGTATTTGCACACCAGTGCGTACCTGTGGAGTCGTGTACCTCTCAAGAGGGGTCTTTATAAGGCCCTTTGTCAGGCTGGCAAGGAAGTCACCTACTAGTCCTCCCCATTTTTAAGTCCCTCCAGAAATTCCGATCCTGTTTTGTGCTCCTCTTTCCTCTTCCCATTAAAATGGGTAAGCTAT